AGATGAAGGTGATTGGAGGGTGGAGAAAATAAGGTGGCACTTTGCAGAGAGCGTAATGATGTCATTGACCATTATACAAAGACAGCGCCAACAGAAAACTAATGTCACTGTCTTAAAAATGCAGATTAATAAACATTATTTGGTGATCGGTCTCTGTAGACCCAGGCACACCCATGCCAACCTGTGGCTACGGCCCCGATGTCATCAAGTTTTCACAGCAATCAGATTCTTGTTTTACCAGATTGTCCCTGTAGATGGTTAATGGTTTTGGGACCATTAAAATAACTGTCACTTGCGAATTTGTGTGCTTATTAAAATGTAATCCATTTTGTTGCACAATCAAAACTTCACTTCATGGTACAACCAGAACATTGTTCACTCAAACTATTTGAACAAAAAGAACACAGTGACACTGAACATAGTGAGCATTTCTGAAGGGGACGTTCCTGATGTTCTTGATGAGTTGAATTAATGACGGTGGTGAACAGAGTGTAAACCCTGCATTTGAAAGAAAGTACGTCTGCTCTTGCCATAGAGTGGCAAAGTTCGATGACTTTGCTGTTAAATTGTTAATAATCTTCCAAAATTTCAGAAAGGAGTAGACAGAAATGTCTCTGGTGTACATTTGAACTCCACAGCACTGTGAACTCTCGTCAGACGGTGATATATATGTAGAGGACAAGGAACTAAAAGTGCAGGAATGTTCTGTACTGCAGGGTAGATGTATGACCAGGATGTCCTGGTCTTCCTCATCAGCACACTGACTCTAGTTTTCTACGTCATTATTAGAACATGCAGCTTCTTCATCCAGAGCTGTTTCCAAGTACCAAAGCACAAAAGCAAGACAGAGTGACACCTTTAGCTTATTGCTGGTTGCCTTTCGATGTCTGGATGCTTATGTGCTGTAATTAACTTTCAAGATTAAATTCTGCTCCATGCAGATCGAGTAAAGCTGATAGAGATATTTGCAAGTCTGTTGAATATTGTCTGTCATTTTAGCATACGGTTAATCTGTATATTAATTTATTGACATTAAATTATGGATAATACGGCTATAAATGACCCCAGAGATTTATTTGAATGAGTGATGTGTCAAAGTAATCAAAGTAATCTGAAAAGTTCTAAACGGACAAAAAAATGATACACCAACTTTACATGTTTAGGCTTTTTTCAGCCCAAATAAACGTTGACTCTTTTAGTGAATACTGTGTGAAACATTCATATCTATATATGACAGGTTGTACATGATGAATGCAATAAACAAAAAGCAAGGTGAGGTTGTTATAGTGAAAGATAAAGGTCTGCCCCTCCTGGCCACATTGTCCACAGTTTTAATCCCCATATATAAGAGTAAGAAGACAATTTTACGTCTGGGGAGCCTTTAAGGGTTGTCCAGAACATCTGCCAGAGGAGTGTCACTGGGCTACCTGCACCATTCGGCCCCCTTTCTAATAACTGGACTTTCCCATCTGTAATATGAGAGAAGCTGGTTGGACTAAAGCCACTGAAATAAACTCACAGATGCTTAATTTCCTAAGTACGATTAATAAGTAACTCATCAAGGTTAAATCGCAGTTCTAATGTCCAATATGTTTAATCCATAGAGATCATTTATTCTTTTTTTGTATGTAAACGTGCCAAAGCCTGAGACTGTCTTTGAAGACGTCATTCAGTTGTATAATTAACTGCCACAGGTTATATTATCATTAAGGATGCAAGATGATTAACTCATCAAGAATAAACTATAATCTTAGGACACAGTAACATCAGTAATCCATTATAACAGCAAAACAGACAGCTGAGAATTAGCCTGCCTGAACAGACAGTTCAGAAAGCACATAATCTAAAATGATCAGAGATTAACTTTGAGATCCAAATGTGTACATCAAGAAATGTTAGATAAACTATATAATCAATGTGTGCTGTAATTTGTAAGGGTTCAAATGAGCAACATTGGTCCTAGTGAAATATAACTGTCTGGCCATGGGGGGCCCTCTGCTGGCGATGCAGACAACTGCAATTTTTGTTTTTCACGTCTACATTGAGTGTGTACAGGTTTTTCAGCCAGACTTTTGCTGGTTTCCTTACAGAAGACCTACTGGTTTGAGTAACATAGACTTCATGTACATCTAGTGATCTACTCATGTATTTCCACCAAACATTTCTGGAAAATGACTGCATATCAAGACTTCACTGGCAAGCCTGCATAGTCTTGTGGGAATTATTGGCCTTGCACTGTCTTGATTTCAGTCCTTCATGAGTAATCAGCAGCAGTTTGTGAGAGCTAATGGTATGCAGTCAGCCTCAACTACTGTCACCTATGGTGTTCCACAGGGGTCAGTACTTGGACCACTTTTATTTAGTATTTGTAAGCTCCCTCTTGGCTACATTATTCATCAGCATGGCTTGAGCTATCATTTATATGCTGATGACAGTCAAACTTGCATCTGTTTGTTGACTAGAGTAACTTCATATCTGTGTTATATTGCAAACAATCCTTTCGTTTCACTCACATGTTCAGAAAATTAGACAGTTTGCATTCATCATATCTTACATTTGTTGATGGCGAATGCCTTATCCATGCAAATGTCTCTTATGATTTAGCAAGTAGTCACATTTTACCTGACTTGCCTTCTATTAAGAATTTGATCTCAACCCTTTGGCCTCCTGAATAGAAATACTTCTGACATTGCACATCAAAATATCTAGTACACAACGTTCACTTATATTCAATTAATTCAGTGCCGTTTTTTTTTTTTATGTGTTTAGTTGCCTCCTTTGGTGTAAAAGCTGTAGTCACTTGACATCCAAACATTTTGCTGAGCAAATTAGACTACAGTGTTTTAGCTCAGAGCATGGGTTAACCTTTTGTGTGGATTATCCAGAGTTCAGTGCTTCATCTGAAACTGTGACTAATCCATCGGGTCTCATGTTGCCAGCAGTTTGCCATTAAGATCAAATTTAGAGAGTTCAGATTAGTTAATAATCACATACAGAAGATTCTTAATGGCTGCAGGGCTCGTTCAGCCACACAACGATGAAGCTGCAGCCAAATCTGCTCCTGCTCACAGTGGCAGTCCTTGTTTTTGGAGATGTAGATGCTGGAAATGTTCTAGTGTGGCTACAGAAGGCAGTCACTGGATCAATCTGAGACCTATATTGGAAAACTCTGATTGACAGGGGCCACAGTGTGGCAATTTTGGTTCCCAGTGCAACGCTGTTTATGGGTCTCAGGGACCCAGCATGCTTTACCTTCCTCCACTTTAACGTGTCCATCTCTAAAAAGGAAGTTCAGGATTTACTTGAGGAGTTTCTGGAGTTCACCATGCATGAGATGCATCGTATGAATGTGCTGCAGAAACACATCACATTTCACAAGCTCTTTTCCAGAAAACAGGACCTTTTCCTGATGTACTGCGATGGAGTTCTGAAGTCTCCATCTGTAATGGGCAAACTGCAACAGGAGAAGTTCGACGTTTTCCTGGTGGACACTTTCTACCCCTGTGGGGAGCTTCTTGCTGAAGTTCTTGCCGTTCCTTTTGTTATAACACATCGGTTTTCCTACGCTCACACTGTGGAGAGATGGTGTGGTCAGACTCCCTCTCCACCATCCTACGTCCCCGCGGTGGGGAATAAACTGACTGATAAGATGGGTTTCTTTGAGCGTGTGGTCAGTCTGCTGTTCTATCTGACGCAGGATGCAGTGGCGATCAGTCAGTGGAAAAAATATGACACTTATTTCACCGACTATTTAGGTGAGTCGTGAACACTTCGCACATAAATGGCATTACATGTCATCAGAATCATCCAGAATTCCTGGCACCCTCAGTTATTGTGAAGAATGCTACATAAAATACTTTTTAACGTATGTTCTTCTGTAACTGTGATTCGGAAATGCTAATTTCAAAATTTAAAGGGGGACTTCCACAATTTTTTCGGATATCTGCATAATTAAAACAAGTTTTCTTTGGAAACTATTTTGCCTCAGAACACCCTGCGTGTATCCCTCCACTATGAATGGACTTCAAAAGGAGGGAACTTAATGTTACATAGGAAATAAGTGCATCAAATTTAAGATATCACTTCCTAAACTAGACTCTCCTTGGTGATTATCTCAACCACGTTCCTGACGTTTTATATTGTGATGAACGAACTGCAAACATTGAGCACATAGTTCCCGGCCAAGTATTATCAGTAGGCGCATTATGATCACCGCAGATAACTGTTTAACTGTTTATCTTATCTTTGCACCAAATAACCCAAGACAGTATTACCTCAAATTCCATAATTCCAGTTGATTTCATCACCAAACATTGAAAAAGACGAAGAATCTTTGAACAAGGTCACTTTACAGCTAATTAGCAACATTAGCTGTTAGCAACAGCTAATCAAAGGCATTAAATAGAGGTTAAACAAGTATTACATAAAAACAAACAAGGAGTGAAAAGGAGGTTTCAAACTGAGTGTTGATAGAAAAAAAAATGAAGTTGAAGTGATTGTGGTGGAGAGTTCCCAAGCTTAGGGGCCGTCACACTAGAAGATTTGCCCCAAGCAGTTACCAGTCTGAATTTAGGGAAAAGTCCACTGTCAGGCTAAAGGTCAGGTCTTATACTATGATCTGGACGAATCAAGCAACATGGCTTGATGTACTGAGTTGCACCCAAGATGATTTTTGCTTCTGCATACAAACTGCTTTTATCGTATTTTACTTCAGCCCGTAACGTTTTCAAGCAAGATGTTCTACAGAAAGGGAAATGGTTGCATTTGTTACACTGTACTATTCAACTTCAGCCTTTAACCCAAAAAGAATGATTAAAAAAAGAAAAAACCCAACAATTTTTCCCTCATGACACACATGACTGTGCAGGATTCCGAGTACTTCTGGATTACACCCTCTGTAAACATTGCAGGTTGTCCTTACAGTGACACTCGTGAAGCTTCACATCCTGAGTTAATAATTAGCTTAACTAGCACTGATTTTACTGAAAGGTGGGCTCTGAGCCACATACACTGATCAGAATGAAGCAGAAGCGATCTCTCCTGTCTCTGCTCTCTGTGGCACTCGTTCTTCTTGGCAATGTAGACGGGGGAAAAGTTCTAGTGTGGCCTGCTGAAGGCAGCCACTGGATCAATCTGAAGCCTGTGATCGAGACTCTGATTGACAGGGGACACGGCGTGACCGTTCTGGTTCCGAATGCAACGTTATATATGGACACCAAGAAACCAGAACGCTTCAGCTCGCTCTGCTTCAATGCGTCCATATCTGAGAAGGACTTGGACGATTTCCTCGAGGAATTCCTGCAGTTTGAAATGTACGAGTCCCACCAGATGAACGTTCTGCAGAAATACATCAAACTTTACGAGTTCTTATCTAAAGACCAGGACTTCTTTCTTCAGTACTGTGACGGGGTGCTGAAGTCTCCAGCAGTCATGGACAAACTGCGGGAAGGGAAGTTCGACGTGATTCTGGCGGACCCTCTGTTCCCCTGCGCCGAGCTGGCCGCTGAAGTTCTTGGCGTTCCATTCATCTTCACGTTTCGTTTCTCCGTCGCTCACACCGTGGAGAGGATGTGTGGTCAGTCTCCAGCTCCACCGTCCTATGCACCTGGGACCATGAGTGAACTGACCGACAGGATGAGCTTCTTTGAGCGTGTGGTCAGTCTGCTGTTCTATCTGACTAATGATGCAATGTCTGTCAGCCTGTGGAAAAAATATGATGACTATTACACGGAGTACTTAGGTAAGTTATGTGTGCTACATATTAAAAGTGCATAAACTTAAACTTGTTTTCTTGAGATGGGGGGGGGCAATGTTTGTGGTGGGTGAAGGGTCAAAAAAGACAATACAATATACAAATAAAGAAGGCAGGTTTCATATTGAATTTTTTTACAAATGCGTTTTATAACACTACAGTTTGTTACAAAACCACTTTAAAAAAAAGTATTGATGGAATTGATGGAGTGTAATAAGTGATACATAGTATAGAAATATGTTTGTTCTGTTAGAGGAACTTTCTGGTGGGGAAAATCAAACATCAGTTTAGACCCTAATAAGAACAACAATGCTGGATTAAGCACATATAGGGTTCATTCTACCAAATGCCAGAGATGAAAACACACTGGAGACTTTTAACTGACTTGGATTTTAGACTAAAAGTTCTCTTGCTCTGAGAGACTCTGTGCCTTATTTATGTTTACTTTATTAAAACATTCCTTTTTTGTCACTACCAAAACAATCATAATTCTACCCAAACTTTTCAAAGTGTTTTATTAGTGACTTTTTCAATGACAATTTTAGCCCATTTTGGGCTCAAAAGCATAGCCAGTGCATCACTAGCAAACACAGCTTTAAACAGCTGTACACACAGAAAATCATCATATTTTTCATTAAAACTCAAAAAATGTTTACTTAATTGCAGAAAATGTGTTTTGATAGTGTTAATTCTTAATATTACACATTAAGTGCATTCACATGCACTTAATAATCCGATAACTGCCAAAAGACAGATTTTGTCAGTAATCCGATCAACATGCTTACATGCACTTGAGTAATCAGATAATGGGAAACTCCGGGTCTACATGAGTCAGACAGTGATCAGATTTTCTTCTTTGCACTCAGCCAGGAAACTCACAGAAGAAGATGTGGTGTAAACATAACGTAAAACTCGGCTTCTTTTTTTGAACATCGCGCCGCTTTACCTGAAAATATGAACATACATCATCTAGAAGATGACGAATGTTTCAGCATCGCTCCAAAAGTATTTTGCTGCATCTCACGGCGATGCTGCTCACTTATTTCCAGTATACTTATTTCCGTCTGTTTTCGCACATGTGCAGACTTAGAAATCTTAAAGAAATCAGAGTCAGAGTTTACAGCACTGAGAAATCTGATTACTGAGCTAGAATCCAGCCTCTTTATCAGATTTGGTGTTTACATGACCATTTGAATAATCGGATAACTGCAGAAGTCCGATTGGATTATTGAGTGCATGTAAACACCCTCACTGATTTTCAGACACATTTACTTCTAAACAGTAGGATCTAACTGCTCACCATGTGGCCATAAAGCACAGCGATGCAGCCTAAAGGAAGCAAACGTTTCACACTGTAATGTACCACAAACTTCATCAAGAAGCCTCTGTGATCACAGCAGATTTAATACTGTTAAATGGTGAAGTAAATCAAAGCTGCATTTGACAGTTGTGTGGAATTATATAATTTCATTATCACCTTATGATGTCCATTAAGCAGTAATTTGATGTAATTCACTCTACAGCAGGGACTGATGTTCTTATAGCTCTTCTTTCACCACCCACCCCGATAGGTAGGTTAAGCAAAGTTCTAAAGAAAGGGAAAAGGTCACATTTATTGTAGGTTCCTATTCAGCTTCAACCTTTTACCCAGAGAAGAATACGATACAGAGAAACCCTACGCTCGCCTCTCTTCCTCTGATCAGAATGAAGCTGAAGCCATTTCTCTTGTCTCTGATCTCACTGGCACTGTATGTTTTTAAGAATGAAGACAGTGGAAATGTTCCAGCCCACTGAAGGCACTGGATCAATCTGAAACCTGTACTGGAGACGTTGATGGACATAACATTACAGTTTTGGTTTGTAGAGCAGCATCATTCATGGATGCCAGTGAACCAGAACGCTTTAGCTTCCTCACCTTCAACAAGTCCATATCTGCTAAAGATCTTGACGACTTCATTCAGGAGATCGTGCAGTATGAAATGTACGAGGCACATCATATAAACGTTCTGCAGAAATGTGTAAAACTCTAGAGAACAGGCCTTCTTACTCAAATACTGCTGAAGTCTCCAGCAGTAATGGACAAACTTCCGGAGGTTTGACATGATTCTGGTTGATCCCATCTACACCTGCGCTGAACTGGTGTCAGAGGTGCTTGGTGTACCCTTCGTTTGCACATACAAATACTCTGTTGCTCAAAAGAGGTTGTGTGGTCAGACTCCCAGTCCACCGTCCTGTGCCCCTGGTGCACTGAGCGAACTGACCGACAAGATGAATTCAAATTACTGCGTCTATTGAACTGGCAGCTTTACAAAGATATTCTGGCAACTGTTATCATAACAACCATTAGCAGACAGGAGATAAAAGGCAGTGACTGTTGTCTACCAGCTTGATATTCTATTTAAAATAAGGGGCGGCTTCAACTGAGAGAACTGTTTAATTGTTGTTTAATAAGCATGTTGTCACGCATCCCCCTGGAAGCTTCTCCTTAGAGAACTCCAATTCCCAGAACTCCCTTGATGATCACGTGACTGTCACATCACCCTCCACAGCCAATCGTTGTTCCCCTTCGCCCGAATACTAATCTGACACACCTGTCTTGTTTGTCATATGACTTGTGATGGATAGTATTTAAAGCCCAGGCTTCAGTTTAGCCATTGTGAGGTGTTGCCTCATTCATTCGAGCTACGGAGCTTTTATTCCTGTATATATTTGATTTCCTGTGTGTCGAACTGTGTTTTTGGACTTTCGACTTTGCCTTTTTGCCTTGCCCTTTTTTTGGCTTGTTTTGGATGTGTTTTTCGCTTGTTTTGGATTTGACCGGTGCCTGTTTTCTGGCTACAAGTTTGGATCACATTCTAACTAGTAAAGCCTACTTTCCTAGTTTTATTTGTGAACGTCTGGTCAGTTCTGTCTTGTTACACATACAGTAAGATTTTTTTCCGCATCACAGTTATTTTAATCACTGCTGATCCTTAAAACCAAAAACTTCATGTCTCATGTTTCACGTCACTTCTCCCACCTTCCAACCCCACAGACTGTGTAAACTCAGGTTATTAAACACATTACACTACTCCAAATACTACATCACATTACTCCAAATACTATTTTGGCAATGCGTGCATATAAACATGGTCAGCAATAGCTTTTTATGTAGAAATCTTTTCATACACAAAAATGCAGCCCAAAGTTCTATAAAAATATGGAAATAACATGATAAATAGTGTAAATAAAAAGTGAACTCGAGTGATGATTTGGGAGTTTTCCAAAACTATGATGCCTACATGATATTTTGCAGTAGCCTGCAAAACATCACTTATTGGAAGCCTCATAATGAGATGCGGCAGAAGCATTGGTGACGAAAGAGGGATGATCATGCAGAAATGGTGGTGGATTTGTGAAGGGCTATTTTCCTTGCTTGGAGAAACAAGAGAGCAATGGACACTGAAGCACCAAAACTGTACAGCTGAAGAGTGGGGAAAAGGTCCTGGCCTGGCCTGCACAAATCTAATTATGCTTACAGGAGGATCAGAATTTGGTGCAAGAAATTTGCGTCCATCCTTTTGGGTGTCAACAGTACAGGTCAGTTGAGCCAGCATGATGGTGTGCAGAATGTTTTCCTGGCCTGCTCACTGAAGAACATCTGAATGACATGGCATATCTGAACATCATCCCTTTATAGTTTATCTAGACTAGTATGGACATTTCCAGCCGGATAGTGGACCATGTCACACACCTTTACAGGCCATGTTTGGATCTTCTGAAAGCAGCATGAATCAAAATATTCCTCCAGATTCAGACAGAAATGGTTTGTGGATTACAACATCTAGCTACAACAACACCCTTCAAAATCCCCTGACTTAATGCCCTTGAAGATCTGTGGAATGAGTGAAGAGGATAGTTCACAAATAAGGACGATGGAGAAATATGATGACTTTTTCTGTTTACGTTAATTGAAAGTGTCAAAATATTCTTTTTGTGCATGCAGGTCGACCCACTAGCTACTGTGAGCTGACGGGCAAAGCTGATATCTGGTTAATCAGAACGTACTGGGACTTTGAGTACCCGCGGCCCCTCCTGCCCAACTTCGTATATGTTGGCGGGCTGCACTGCAGTCCAGCCAAACCATTACCACAGGTAGAGCACACATGACCTGCAACCTCTGAACCAGATCACAAAGGTACAGTAAGTAGAAATATATCTTTTTCTGTTCGAGTCACATCTATCTGTTCAAATACGGCTATACCTGCTAGAGATGAGTAGCATCTTACTGAATCACTATATACATACATAGAAGTCTGTTACCCGACCTGAGACTGACATGAGCTGTCAAAAGATCAGGTTTTGGACCAATGTTTTCACATACACACTTATAAAAGAGAGTTCTTCAACAGTTCTTTGGAAAAGAAAATATATAAAAAATATATTCTATATAGAGCAATGAACATTCAAAGAACCCTCGCATGCTTAAATGTTTCTTTGCATCATGATTGATGGAGAATGTGTTGTATATGGTTCTATATAGAACCTTTTCGAAAAGGATTCCATATAGCACCAAAAATGGTTCTTCTATGGGTACAAGCTTCACAACATAACAATAGAATGGTATATTTTTAAGAGTGTACATCATCAGGATTGGGATTTTGGTCAGTCATTTCTAAAGTAGCAGCAGTAGCATGAGGAACTTTAGTGCAGTGGGGCTAAAAGCTGATCAGAGGAGGGTGGATGCTGTTTTCAGTCAGGTACGATCAACAATCCCTCACAAATATACTGATAATAAACACTGCTATTGTATAAAATACCAGTTTATCCAGCATCACATTTTTTATTCCATCAACTCAACCTCGTAGTAACAAAGTAAAGTGAAAACGAAAAATTTAGCAGTACCAGTCGGGCCAGGTCTCAAAATCGTAGGTACAGTTCAGGTTGGCGCTTCAGTTTCATGCTTGTGCAAACGTCTATACATAAATGATGTCTTCATTTTTAATCTCAATGTAGGATCTGGAGGAGTTTGTGCAGAGCTCAGGGGATGATGGGATTGTGGTGTTTACTCTGGGATCCTTCATCAGAAACATGACTAAAGAGAGGAGCAACATAATCGCCTCTGCTTTTGGACAGATCCCACAGAAGGTGCACATGCACACTTAAACCATGGAAATCCTGAAGTCCAGGGTTCTTGGGGTCATTGTTTACTATGAATCATGAAGCACATTCAAGCATCCCATAATCACTGTACTGTTTGTTTGACAGGTCTTGTGGAAGTACAGTGGAGAGAAGCCAGACACTCTGGCTCCAAACACCAGAATTTATGACTGGATCCCTCAGAATGACCTACTGGGTCAGTACTGGACCAGATCACTGTTGTGGAGCTCTAAAGACTAAACTTAGAACAGAGTTAACTCACATTGGTCTAACGTAGCTATACTTCATAAAGGGAGCAACCATAATCATGGATACCTACAGTTCAGTGGATCCAGGACTGGGTATTTATGATTTGAAGTACTCTGCAAAGTCCAAATCTATGAAATTTTGACTTGAATACATGTAACTCATGATTGTCCACCTGTGGTTATGACAACCAAATCCTTTATAAAGTAGCATTTACATAAGGTATCAATATTGTGGAATTTGACCTGCCACTTATCGTTATATGTTCTCACAACAGTAACACAACTTTATATTATTTATGAAAGATTATAAGCTTAATTACTATCATACATTTTGTATTTTTTATTCAGGTCATCCAAAAACCAGAGCATTTGTCACCCACGGTGGCACTAATGGTGTATATGAGGCCATCTACCATGGTGTGCCGATGGTGGGGATCCCCATATATGCTGACCAGCCTGATAACGTGGTCCATATGAAGGCTAAAGGCGCTGCTGTTTTTCTGAACTTCAACAGCATGCAGGCCCAGGATCTGGTGGACGCTCTCAAGACCGTCATTAATGACCCCAGGTAAGAGACTGATTCATACCCAATTTCCCTGGGACTAGTTTCCCTGCATGACTTTCATTTTACCTTGGTACTAACTCATCTGATTCAATTCACATTTATACTGGTACTCTAGAAGCTTAAGTGTTAAGGTGTTTTAGATCAGGCAGGAGGAGACTGTCCAGGGCAGTTTGGAATCACTTGTCATATCAGTGGTTACATTTATGACATTTGGCAGACGTTCTTGTCCAGAGCAACTTACAGCTCGATCATTTTACACAGGTAGGCCAAGTTAGAGTTAGGAGTCTAGCCCAAGGACTCTTATTGGTATAGTGTAGAGACTTGCCCGCATGGGGATTGAACCCCAATCTACTGCATAGAAGGCAGAGGTGTTACCCACTACATTATACCAACCACCTTGTTCTGGACAATTCTTGAAAGTAACTTCATTAGAACGTCTACATACGTGTTTATCATTCTGCACATTTATTTTTATTACAGCTTCATACTGATTAGCTGAAACCTGTGAAGCTGTTCAGGATGAGCAGATTAGAATTTCTTTATATATTTGTGTTCAACCAAGTTGGTTTTGTATTATTGAAAACAGTGATTCCAAACTTCTGAACAGTAGTATAAGTTAGAGGTGATCCAGGTACCTGACTCTAAACTTCCTCTGTTTATTGTGCAGCTATAAGGAGAGCGCCATGCGTCTGTCACGGATCCACCACGACCGTCCCGTTAAACCTCTAGACGAGGCTGTGTTCTGGATCGAGCACGTAATGCAGAATAAAGGCGCTGGGCACCTGCGTGTGGCCTCCCATAGCCTGACCTGGTACCAGTACCACTGCCTGGACGTCCTGGTGTTCGTCATCAGCATCCTGGCTCTGGTCTTCTACATCATTATTAGAACATGCAGCTTCTTCATCCGGAGATGCTGCCGAACACCGAAGCACAAAAGCAAGAAAGACTGACACATTTAGCTTATTGTCTGTTGCCTAATTTACAAGTTTCGAGAGGTTTTGTTTTACCATGAATTTACCACAGTTGCTTAATGAATTATTCATTATTGATAAGAGTCATAACATCAGTTCTTCCTCCAAACAGTGTTTTTTGGCAACCAGGGCCAACAGTTGACAAACTACCAGGTCAGTTTATGTTTCCCAGGTCTGTTTCTGGGCTCCAGCGCTAGTAACTCAGTTCATGGGGTGTTAATAACTTTCTAAACCAAGTTTTCTGGTGTTGTTGTTTGTTCATACAATGCTTTTTCAAGCTCTAAAACAGAGTTATAGCTCAAAGGTTCATAGAGTTTAGATGGTGTGCAGCCCTTTTGCGCTGCAAGTTGGGGGTTTTGGGGTACTTTTTGAGTTGGAAAAAACTCAACACAACATTTAGCTTCCTCTGAAACACAATCTCACTGAACCTCCTAACAACAATATTTGCAATAAATTAATTTAAGTTTCATTAACGTTCAAGTTGTCCTTTTTTTTCTAATTCCACCCTAAAATGTCTACGCACAGGCTTGAGCACAAGTGATTATTATTTCCTTTCAAAACTCTCAAAATAATGAAATATAAGCATCTCAAGATTGACATTTCTGGCTCCTGTTCCATGATCCTCTCAGCTGAGTCTCTCAGAAGAGTGAAGTCACAGCTTTGGGACTTTCGCCTTCTCTGATAATCTGCTCTCTGGGTGAAAGGCTGACCCTCCATTTCAATTATTAACCTTAGTCATGATTAATTTACAATACCACTGGGGTTAGCAATAGCCATGTGCTGTCTGTATGACTGCGGCCTTGGTCTAACAACCTTACAGTCACACAGCCATTCACATTGGTGAATAAAAGCAAATCATGCAAAGTAAACAAAAAAGGTACATTATCTTTAACTTGTGCAAGGTACTGCAAAGATGTTTTAGTGTCCATCACCTCATTGTTCCTGTGCAATGCAGATATGTCGTTGTGTTTTGTAAGGTTGTATGATGTGAGTTTTTTTCATTCACCACATAAAACACGGTTTATCAGTTCAACCTTAAAAATTCCATGTGGTAACAAACGACTGAACTTGTTTTATTCAACCAAAGTGCTGTAAATGAAACAATGCAAAGCAGAATGTTAGTTTAGACAAACAAACTCAATGTTTTAGATCAATTCAGTCCTCAAAAACACTTCAAATCAACTTCTGTGCTGTTCCAATTTTCACAGTGTTGTTTTAATGATCAGCCAAAGAATAATAATCACAGTCTGAAATAAAACGGCAAACTTTACTACTTCATAGATTTATATAACACAATGGATCTGGCTTAATGCTAGCGGTTGTTAGTGTTTCTGAGGTGACTGTGATCTGATCTAGAGCAGGGTTTCTCAAACACAAGTAGGCCTTGAAACACCCTCTGGTGGTCCTCAGGCCTTTACTGAGGGGGTGCCAGTGGTCCATACTGGGCCTGCAATGGCAGCTTGTTATAAAATAAGAACTGAATTAATGATTAAAAAAAGTATAAAATGTTTCCAAACAGAAAACAACACTGAAAGGAGGCCTGCGAAAACAGCACAAATGATTTTGTCTCTTTTGTCTATTTTGACAAATATTCTCCCCCCCGATGTTTCAGCTGTCCACCTGCAACACTACAAACATAAAAATTCCACTTAATTTCTACCGTTCTGCTGATATTTTAATGTGCACTGATGCGCATTACGTCTTACAGGAGTGAACACGGTGTGCTAAAAAATTCCCAAAAATGAAGTTAAGTAAAAAGCTGAGTTTGTTTTCTTGTAAGCCTTCATGCTTACCAGAGACAAACAAGTGGGCCTTGAGGTGGAAAAGCTTGAGAACCCCTGTTCTAGAGTGTTTCTGCTGTAGGAACTCCAGTGTTGACGTTCTGATAGAATGAATGTATTTTAAGATGTTTCTGTGTTTTTATAGCTGTAGAGCATTGTGGGTATAAAATGAACTGCTGTGCTGAGTTGAATGCTTCTGTTAAGAAGATGTGAAGAGTTTTTAAAGAGTGAACTTGGCCTCTTAAAAAGGTTTCAATGAGTGTAGTGTTGTCCAGCAGGTGGCGCTGTTTAATAACGCATTATTATTGTTATTATCAGTGGAGGCTGAATGAAAAGGTGTATCATGCCTGTAGATCATACTTGCAAATTAGTTATTTAAATACAGTCCTTCACTTTCTCCTCTCCCACAGTCCGACCTTCAGCTCCATTAAACACTACAGTCACGGCTTAAAGACGATTATTATCAGTGTTTCATTATTAACGGTCGGTTCTGCTGAAGATCTCCGCTTTTACCATCTTCACTCTCCAAAACATCCACAACACTCTCGAATTTGAGGGTAAGTTTACTACAAATGTTGGATCTGAACGTCATTAAGACCCTCAGAGTTGATCTTAAAGCTGGAAAAGTCGGTTTTATTGGTTAGAAATCACTGTTTTATTGGTTTTGTGCTCAAGTAATGTCTAAAATGGCAGCTTTAGAACGACCACAGAAGAAACGTGTTTCATGTAAAAGTGTAAAAACGCTCTAATACTGCTTTATTTTATATAGTTAACTGTTTTTATTGGTTTTACACGATAAGTGAAGAAGATTAATCAGAGTACACACAGCAAATCAGACAGACAGGAGAGTTTTACCTCAGGACAGTCTCACACCTGGTAAACAAACTGAAGCTGCGACCCTCACCGTTCCTCCATTTTAACATTCATTTATGGGAAGAAGAAGATGAGACCAGGATGAACCACCTTCACTCAGGTTTCTGATTAGATCTAAATGTATTAACTGGTTTCTCCTGGAGTTTCCACTAGAGGAGTGTAAGGAACATGATCTTTATTAGCTACACTGATTTCCTTTTGTTTCATTACATTAATGCATAAAATAGCTTTAACATCCCTCTTAAGCAGGACTGAGAGAATAAAAGCACTTTGTAGCTCTTTATAGTGAGAATCAAGAACACAGATTAAAATTAGACTTTATTTTACTTTCTTTTTTGACTTTGACTTTGGTTGCATCTCATGTTCTCAGGGTTTATGAACAGTAGTACAAACATCACTCCAGTAAACTTCAGTTAACCTCAGCTGAAGTATTTTTGTGTGTCTTAATGTAGTCGCATATCGTTTTTTACAAGTAATGTCAAATGTGGGTGCATTAAAATTGCATGTTTACATGATCAAAGATGTTTTTTTCTGCAGAGAACGTTAAAAGCCAGTTTCCAAAGATGTTTGGTGTTAGACGAGCATATTTCCCAGTGAATGAGGGGCAAGGAATAAATAAATGTATTGTTAGTAAATAATCAGTCAAGAAGGTTAAAGTGAGCAGGAGGTTGTCAGTCCCTCCGTTATAACAGAACTGGGTTCTTCTGGGTTTGTAGTAGAACAGAAACCCATTCCTGTTTGTGCTGGTGGTCTGTACAGGTGTTCTAGTGTTTGGGGTGCTGGAGGTTTTGACTGAATTTCCACATCAACTCTCTTTAAATTAAGCTAACTACAGTCACATGGAAATTTCTGGAAAACACTCCTAGATGTTGAATGCTGGAAAAAGAATAATGAAATAGTATTTCACAGGAGTTCTTCTGGTACTATTTCTGGTATTGATATGTTTAATTAGCCTGATTTGTGCAAATTTGATATTTTGTGCTCGAGAATGCGCAGCATGCAGTGGTCCAGACAGTTTAAACTCATGTAAAGTAATTTTTTAAAACTACTGCACAAAAAACCAAAGTATTGAAAGTATTGAATGTCTGCTACATCAACCCCACTAGAGAAGGAAGCGTCAGACATATCCAAATTTGAGTTCCACACAGTCCAGCAGAGCCGAGATGGATCCCTGTGGTCAGATCCTAATCACTGTTTTAGGTGTCACATGAGGACCAGCCTTACACTGTAGCGCTCCAAAGCAGGGGGAAGGGAGTCACTGTGTGGACACCAGGGCACATTTGTATATATGAAAAGCAGCATGTTGTATCTTCTGGTCAGAAAGTTCACGTCTGTAAAATGTTGCTGGGGCTGTTTTAAGGTTTGCATGGGTAACAGTAAGACAATGAGAATACTGTTAGCTAATGGTCTCATAGAGCTCTCGGAGTATCTCTTTTAAATTAGCAGTTGACCATTGAACATGATAATAATATTTTTAGACTGGACTTTTTTATTGATGTTTTTGATGGGACCTTGCTTTCTGGTCATCTTATCAGAGAATAGGTAGTAACATTAAGAGTCTGTATTATACATTTGAAGTGAGACTGAATTAATGGACCAATGGACCAGCTTTTCACCCTCTCACGGATTGTTGAGGGGGCATGGGAATTTGCCAACCCAGTCTACATGTGTTTTGTGGATTTGGAGAAGGCTCACGACCGTGTTCCCCGAGATATCTTGTGGGAGGTCCTCCGGGAGTATGGGGTGCCGGGGCAGCTACTCTGCGCCATTCAATCTTTGTACTCCCAGAGTGAGAGCTGTGTTCGTATACTCGGCATTAAGTCGGACTCTTTCAGTGTTTGCGTTGGACTTTGCCAGGGTTGTTCCCTGTCTCCACTCCTGTTTGTGATGTTCATGGATAGGGTGTCAAGGCATAGCCATGGTCAGAAGGGCATTATGTGTGGAGGCCAAAGGGTGGCGTCTCTGCTATTTGCAGACGATGTTGTTCTTTTGGCTGGATCACATGGATGCCTCAAGCGCAGACTGGAGCAGTTTGCAGCTGAGTGTGAAGCGGTTGGTATGCGCATCAGCACCTCCAAGTCTGAGTCCATGGTCTTAGCCCAGAAAAGGATGGCATGCCCACTCCAGGTAAGGAGAAAGGACCTGCCCTCTGGTGGAGGAGTTTAAGTATCTCGGGGTCTTGTTCATGAGTGATGGGAAGAGGCCTCACACGATGCCTCACCTATGGTCATGAGCTATGGGTAAAGACGAAAGAATGAGATCGCGAATACAAGTGGCGGAAATGAGCTTTCTTCGCAGGGTGGCGGGCTACACTCTACTTGATAGGGTGAGGAGCTCGGTCATTCGGGAGGAGCTCAGAGTAGAGCCACTACTCCTCTGCATGGAGAGGAGCCATCTGAGGTGGTATTGGAGGACAGGGTCGTCTGGGATTCTCTGCTTTCCCAACTGCTACCGCGACCCTAGCTAGACTAAGCGGTTAACGATGATGATGATGATGATGATGATGAATTAAGACAATAAAACATTAGAAAAGCTAAGTTACTATGTTAATGATGTGCACATGGTCAGTTGAGCTGCTCAGTGGGTGGGACAATTTGTTACACCACCAGTTAACAGTTAATCACCGACTAGTGACGATTGGTTATTGGACAAAAGAATGTTCCAAAATGTGTAACCCTGGTCAGTACTGATGGTGTGTGTGTGTCTGCAGGTCAGTTCTGTTCTCTCTTTCTCTCTCTCCTCTCCTGGTCAGTACTGATGGTGTGTGTGTGTGTGTGTCTGTAGGTCAGTCATGCAGTCCTGCAGTTCTGCTCTCTGTGTCCTGATCTTACTGATCACTACAGTCACTACTAGTAAGTACTGCACTGTTATTACTCCTGACACTGTGCTGTTACCTACATTTTTTAAGCCCTGTAAGTGAAATGTTGAGTGTGTTTTTGGTGAGCACCGGTTCAGGCCAGTTCTAAACAGAACCAGATACTGGTGAACCATGCTTTGGAGAAATACACTGCTTGAAAGATTTAACTCAGGTTATTGGATCATGAGAAAGATGCATCAGATAAACCTGTGACTCATGGCAAAAATCAGAAACTGTCAGAAAGAGACAGCAGATATAGAACAGTGGAAGTCAGACAGGATGGTTATCGGGCAGAATTGAACTCAGGCCCTTCCTGCTACAAGGTGACAGCGCTACCCACTGCACCACTGTGCCTGGAACACATAGAGCACAGGACATTTAGAACATGGTGGAGCACATACAGGACAGTAGACACAGAACATGGTGAAACACAGACAGCATTATAGACATAGAACATGGTGGAACACATCCAGGATAGTAGACATAGAACATGGTGGAACACCTGCAGGGTAGTAGATCTAGAACATGGTGAAACACATACAGCTACATATATCTAGAACATGGTGGAACACATACAGCATTATAGATCTAGAACATGGTGAAACACATACAGCTACATATATCTAGAACATGGTGGAACACATACAGCATTATAGATCTAGAACATGGTGAAACACATACACGGTGATACATACATGTACAACTTTACAATCACTTTTTCACAGTTTTCAGTTACTATACGGATGAATAAACAGTTAAGTGCTTTAGATCTTACTTATGAAAACTACACTTCTTGTCTAGAACACCCTGTCTTGCCATCTAGATGTTCTTAACCTCATTGTTATTTGTTCCGTTTTAATTGTCTTTATTCTCTCTTCCAGGCTCTGGATCAGCTTCTCTTTCAGTAACAGTGAAGCTCAATGACTCTGCTACTCTGCCCTGCTCTGAGAGATGCTCTGGTTTGGTCACATGGACTGTGTCCCATAAACCCACTGATGTTCTGGCTGAGTGTGATCAGACTTCATGTAGATCAGTGAAGGAGGGATATCAGATGATCCATGATCAGTACCTGAAGGGGAATCTCTCTCTCACCATCACTGACGCTGATTTCACTAAGAGGGACTGGTACACCTGCACCTGCAATAACAAGGACATCTGTGATGTGGCTCTTCAGCTGGAGCGTGAGTACTGACTGATCTTTCACTGTACGTTTCTGATAGAAGCCAGTGGTTTAGATGCTTTACTGCTTTTCTCCTCAGCTTTGAGGTCGTCAGTTCAGATGAAGCCTGGTGAAACTCTGGTTCTGGATTTGGACGTATCAGATCCAGTGGAGGTGATTTATAACAGTAGAGCGAATGGATCCAGTGGTCACATCTGTATAGTGGATAGAGGCTCACTGGAGTGCACTGTGGAATACGCACAGAGAGCGTCACTAACGTCTGCTCTTGAGCTGAAAGGAGTGACTCCATCTGACAGTGGAGTTTACACCATACAGGTCACCAGGACCGAAGAAGTTATTCACGTCTATACAGTGACCATCCAAGGTACGAATTTAGTGAGATTTTCAGCTCGAACAGTGATTTCATGAAAAGATTTCCTCAAGATTCTGTAATATTTAAAAAATCTCAATCAGAAATCACTGTTCACGGAACTGCTGAACTAAATACTCCATTAACTAAGACTCGCTGTACATGTGTGTGTGTTCTTGTTTACAGATGATCTGCCACATCCAGACAGAGATCAGGAGACAGTAGTGCCAGTGTGGGGGATCATATTGCTCATATTGCTGGTGGTGCTGATGGGGGGCTGTTTCTGTAATGTTGTGGTGTTGCAGCGAAGGAGGAATATTATGCAGCGCTGGAGGAAAACGGATGGACAGAGAAAAAAAGAGAAAAAAAAAGAGAAGTGGCTGTCCCTTACATAACTGTACTGAAATGATATGTTTCTAAGCTGTACTGACTCCACACACCCCGTCTCGCCTCCAGGACTTTTATTTTACTGTTCTGTTTTAAAATATTTGGTTATGAAAAGGTACAAATACGAACTTTTCACCTGGAAAAACTTATTTAAGGTTCACAATCAGACCTTAAACCACTGTTGTACCTTCATTTCTAACAGTGTGTTGACCTCTGTAGGTGACTGAAATATTGAGGATCATAGTCTAAATGACTTGATATCACACTTTACTAAACTTTTCAGTCGTTTTCTCTGCTGCTCACGCCGATGTTGTGAAGAAACAGCAGGTAAACATGTTTAAGTGAGGGTCGTGGATGTAAAGATGTGATGAATGTGGTGTTTTT